TTTATACTGGTCCTTCTATTTTTGCTCGTGTTTGTGTGTGTTAACATCTATGCGCAATGCCGCTCCTAAATCAGAGTGATCAAAAAGTTAATGTAAGGTTCTGGTCATCAAGACTTGATGACCCAAAAGAAAGCTCTGACCGAGACTACGTATGAACTTCGGATAACGAGCTAATATAGAACCAAGTTGCGAAATCAAGGTCAAACAACTTCTATACAACGAAAGTAAACCGTGACCATACAAAAGACCACCATCCTGGTCTTCATACCTTCTATTATAATTTTGTTGTGCTTTATTTTTTGAAGAAGATTTTCCATGTGTACATTCCTTCTCTATCTCATCTCTTAACATTGAATAACCTTTTTAGCTTCATCTGGTCCCGATATTTTAGCCACAATGGTCAAATTATTTTTTTTTCGTTGAACATATTCTAATCAGAATCAATAAACCATATATCTGCTTAAATCTATCACCTACCAGATCTGCTCGCTTATTTCTAATTAAATGATTTTCTGGACCATTGTCGTTTAGATAAGATTTCGAAACGGTTGTCTATTATGTTATGCTGGTTGTTTACGTCAAGTTAAACACATTCTATTTTATTCTATGTTTATCACTTCAATTGTAACCGAGAGTCCCTTTATCATCTTATCTCTTATTTGGTTATAGCCTTGATTGAATAATTTGTGCAAATTCAGTCCAAGGACTATAAACCCTCGTAAAAGTACCTACTGCCATCACATCACACGCAGTACTAGGCAGACTCAAAAAAGTCTCATTGTCGCTCTGATCAAGTCGCGAAATCGAGGTCAAACCACCACTATATATCTAAAAGAGATTGACCAAACAAAAGGATATATCATCTTGGTGTTCATATCTACGGTGTAAAAAATATAGTCCGAACCTCTATTGCACACGATAGAGAGGATGCTATCTTGTTTGTCGTATCATTCTAAAATGTTTACACTTAATTTTTTTGCTAACAAGTGGAATTATAATGTTACATTTTAATCTAATTTTTCATATTTAAACTCACATATTTTGAAATAATCCCACAAATTTCCTATAATACTCTTTGTGGTTAGTTTTCTTATTTTATTCCTTCTTCAATAATTCCCCCTTGCTCTTACTCAGATTGCCATTGAAGTACTTGCTGAATACTCCGTTGACGACCACCAGGCGTCTGTCTATTTGTTGAAGCGGATGTCAATGCCTGTCTGTCCAATGGACGTCGATCAACCCATATTTTCGGTCACTCTCGAGGTTTGGCATGGCCACGAGGACTACCTATTGACTAGGGTGTCTAGCGAAGTTCTCAGGTATTTTTTTAATCATCGTTTTGAGCTTTTTATCGTATTTACCTTATTATGTCTTAATTCCAGTTATGTCCTTATTAGTCCCTCTCCCACCTGCTTTTCCATTTATCGAATATACTAATTATAACCTGGTTC